AAATAATTCAAGAATTTGATGGATTTGCTGGTTTTAAAATTAATAAGGTTAAATTTAATATATTGTCAGAGACAGCCAGCTTGAGGACATGGAGGACTCTGAGGATGCTGAGTCAGGTCCTAGCTTGGTGCTACCAATTCCCATGGACTTAGTTGAACCTGGGTCTAGCTCTGTGGGACCCACTGAGGCACAGCCCCTGCCTCAGCAGCCTAGCCTTCTCCCAGCAGAAAGCCTCCCCCCAGCAGAGGTTTCAGGCCTGGAAGAGACAGAGGAGCAGGATGCAGAGGTACCTACCTTTGCTCAGAGAAGGACAGAAAGGGCATGCCTCCGGCATTCTTGGAGGTTATCAGAGAAATGCACAGCTAAGGACAAACAGCTGTGAGTAGGAACTGTGCTCTATAAGTAGCTGAGGAAAGCCGAGTTCCTTGTCAGAGCTTATTTGCGATTACTGGTGAAAGCTTTGGACTTTTGACTCCTGGCCTGACTTTGGACTGATATGGATTTTGTGACCTCTGGACTGGATTGGATGACCTGCTTGTTGGAACCCTGGATCTTGGACTACATTCATTGACTTGCCTTGTGGACTCTGGACTCATTGTTTTGCTGCTTGAAGCAATCAGAATGGTACTATATTTGCAACTGCTAGAGACAGACCTTGCTCTTATCAGCCATGCTGTTGGCAGCTTTCCCGGACATATATTAACTTTGAATATGACACAGAGAGAAGAATTAGAATTACAGGCAAAATCAGGATTCCAAATATGTAAAAAAGTTAACTATTTGGGCATAGTACTCTCTAGGAAAAATTCTAGTTTGTATGATAGCAACTACAGTCCATTATGGAAAGAGATCAAAAATGATTTAGTAAAATGGACAAACTTAAATCTATCATTAATGGGAAGAATGTCTGCTTTTAAAATGTTGGCTTTGCCAAAGTTAATGTTTCTTTATCAAAATCTACCAATTTTAACAAATGATAAACAATTTAAACAGTGGGAAGTGGAGATCTCTAAGTTTATTTGGGCAGGGAGGAAAACCCGAATAAAATGGAAAAATCTAAAGGACATGAAAGAAAGAGGCAGATTGGGGGTCTTGGACCTAAAAGTATACTACTACACATGCACCCTTGAACGGGTATGCAATTGGATAACCTTTGAAGATGATAAAATGCTGAGCTTGGAAAGGTTTAACAAAATATATGGGTGGCATGGTTACCTATGGTATAAAAGAGCAGAGGTAAATAAAGAATTTAATAATCACATAATTGGAAGAGCTCTTTTAAGAGTCTGGATTAAAGTTAAAAACATGATATACCTGAAATTACCAGATTGGTTATCACCACAAGAAGCATGGAAGATAGGGTTCAAAGCATATGGTAAACAATGTTTGAAATATCAAGATATTACTAATTGGGGATGAGATATTCTGAGGCTGAAATCAAATAATGAAATAAAAGAATTTGGATCACCTTGTCATTGGTTCACTTATCACCAGCTAAAAGAAAGATTTAAAATGGACTATAAACTGGAGGGTTTCAGCAAGACAAGAAACAAATTAGATGAGATCATGTTAGAAGCTCAGAAAGGGATAATAGCTAAATTATATGAATTGTTACTGAAAATAACTTTAGAACCAGAAATGATTAAGGACTGTATGATGAGATGGTCACAGAATTTCGGATATCAGATTCAAGTAATTAAGTGGGAAAGGATTTGGAGGAAGGACTTAAAATATACAGCTTGTATAGCTCTAAAGGAAAAATTGTACAAAATGTTTCATAGATGGTATCTAACACCTAATAAGATGGCGAAAATCTGAGGTGATGAAACAGGTTAATGTTGGAAATGTGGGGACATTGATGGATCACTATATCATTTGTGGTGGACATGCCCACTTGCTGCAAAATATTGGAAAGAAATTCATAATGTTTTACAAACTATATTAAAGATACCCTTTGGTCTAGCTCCGGAATACAAGGATAGGAAACATTTAAAGTTCATCCTCTATTTTGATCATCACTGCAAGGATGCTATATGCACAGAGATGGAAAGAGAAAGAGATCCCAAATATAGATGGTTGGTTAAATAAATGTCTAGAAATGATGGAACTAGATAAAGTGACAATGTCAATCAATAATATCTGTAAAGCAGGTTGGGATGAGGATTGGGGATTACTATTGCAATACTACAGGGAAAGATGGTCAAAATGAGGACATAAAAAGAATTTCAGACTAGTAGGTGGCAGAAGGTGATTTGGGAATATTGGTAAATAAGCAAGAGATTAGAAATATGATATGTAAATATGCTCATTCAGATGTAAAATCAAACTTATGAGTTAACATAATGTATGGTGTGATACTAAAGAGGGAAAAGGGAAGAATAAATGTATAGAAGTGCTTAATGAATAGTCAAGAGTTACAAAATAAGTTTAAAGAGGACAGAAGATAGAAGATACAATTTTATTCTATGTTTGACATGTATTTGTACTGTTTATTTGTAATCAATAAAAAAAGAAAACCATTGCATTAATTTCTCATGCAAGCCAGGTGATGCTTAAAATTCTACAACAAAGACCCTTATCATATATGGAGTGAGAATTGCCAATGTCCAAGCAGAGTTCAGGAAAGGAAGAGGCACTAGAGATCATATAGCTAAGATATCCTGGATAATGAAACATAGTAAGAAGATTAACCTGTGCTTTATAAACTATAGCAAAGCATTTTATTGTATATATCATAAGAAACTATAGGTCTCTCTTAAGGAAATTGGTGAGCCATAGTATTTGATAAAAGACTCAAAAAACCTGTGTTGATTTATCAATGGGTCAATGTAAGTCCTGTACTTTAACTCTCATTTTAAAAAGGAAACATCCACTGGTGAAAGGCAAGAGTGTCATCTGCCCTGGAAACACTGAACCCCCTCTATTTTCCCATCCATCCAGCCTATTTTCCCATCCATCCAGCACAAACAGTTATGCCTGCTGGAATTTAGTAAGTTCTTTGGCACTGTTTTCCTTTGCTTCATCTTTTACAACCTTTGTTAGACACCGCTAAATTTTACCCTCAACTTAACATGGGTCATATCAAAATCCATAATTTTGGTCCCAAAACCTGCCCTCAATTTATACATGAGGTTGACCTATAGTTGAGAATATATGGTAGACTAAGAGATTGAAACATTTCAAGATTTTCCATACTTGATCTTAATCATCAATCAGAGTGGAGTCTGCAGTCAAGGAATCAGAAAAAGACTAGGACTTGAAAGGGCAGCTATGAAGGAACTAGACATTTAAGATTTATCATTAAATACTGAAGTTAGGATTGTCTATGCCATCATATTTCCCATTTCTATGTATGGTTGTGAGAGCTGGACAGTGAAGAAAGCTGATAAGAAAATCAGCTCATTAGAGATGTGGCACTGGAGAAGAGTTCTGAGAATACCATGGACCACTAAGAAGATCAACGGATGGATCCTAGAGTAGATCAGGCCTGTATTCTGCCTGGAACCAAATATGACTAAATTGAGATTGTTGTATTTTGCACATATCATGAGGAGAAAGGGCTTATTAGAAAAGACTATAATGCTTGGTAGAATGGAGGACAATAGCAAGCAAAGCAAAGCAGCTTCATTTATATACCACTTCATATCACTTTATGAAGGGTCTAAGTGGTTTACAACTGTAAGCTCATTGCCCCCCAACAGCTGGGTACTCATTTTAGCAACCTGAGCCCTGACTAGTATTTAACTCGTAACCTTGTGGTTTATGAGTGAGTGGCTGCAGTACAGGCATTTAACCACTGTGCCACCAAGGCTCCTTAGGATAGGAGAAAGACTGTGTTTCAGATGGATAGGCTCAATCAAAGAAACTACAGCCATGAATTTACAGTAGCTGAGCAGGGCCACTGAAGATAGAGTGATTTGGAGGTCTCTCATTCATAGGGTCGCCAAGTGCCAAAGCTGACTTGAAAGCAACAACAAAATATATTCTGTATTTATCATGTTTTATTTTATGATAGTTCATTGTGGGCTTAATTTTCAAGTCTGATTGTTGAGGTATGAATCTCTGAGGTAATCCTGTTGTAAGACAAACAAATCAGTGGTAGCCAGCGTGGTGTAGTGGTCTGAGCATTGGACTATGACTCTGGACACTGGGGTTCAAATCCACACTTGGCCATGGAAATCCATTGGGTGACCTTCAGCAAGTCACAATCTCTTGGCCTCAGAGGAAGTTAAAAGCAAAAGCTATATGTGTTAAAAATACACCTTTCTGGGTGTAACCTTTACAAGCTAATTGGGTGATATTACGTGACATGTACTAGTCCAACCCTTAATTACAAT